GTTCCCATCCAGGGAAGGTATCACCATAGGGGTATTTCTCACGTTCTCAGTTTTCTTAGTATGGACAAAATGTAGTGCCAATCAAAGAAGTTCCCATATACAACCCTTCGTACTATACTACTTCGTATATACCCTTCGTTCCATAGAAGAAAGCGACAGCCTTTTTAGAGACATCATTTCGATTGTTAGGAAGCGTACTGCTCAATACATACGCTTTTCAAATACTTGTATTCTGGATGTCTAGGGTGAGAAGGAAAAAATCCCAGCAAGGAAATTACTTTAGAGATGCGACTCGTGAGGAAAAGGCTATTCGTGAGCAGTTGACCACAGTGAATGCCGAGATAGCACAAATGGAGCAACAGATGCGTTATTTAGGCCCCTAGGGTAAGCTACATCCCTGCTTGTTGGTTCTTTTTTCAATTTTTCTAATCTCTAAAGGCCTAGCTAGGCTCCTAAATAGCAAGTTGCTCGCTGCTTTCGGTCATTTAATGAGTTTTCATGTTCTATCTCTTACCTTTGCAATGGACTACATTGCTATATTTTACTGTCATTGCTTTTTTAATCTGAAAACTTTTTGTATGTTTTTTCTCGTGTTAGAGTGACAGTGCGTTCACAATTTGCTCTATGTGATGGTATAGTAGCAGTTTCCACAAAGTGGAAGAGTTGCATATTTAACCGCAGTTACGAACTCGGTGAATCACAGAGTACGAACAGCGACACACACAACAGCGAACTGAGAATTCTACCCGACTATAAGATTACAGTCTGTCACAAACGGTGTGGAGGGCGTACGCCGAATAGTGCAATGGTACCGTGATAACAACCCCGACGGTCGTCATGATGACGTTGTTAACGGATACCACGGTAGGTTTCTCTGTTCTCCAGTGTATGCTAAGCTTCCATTCGGATCTGGACTACTCATGCATCGAAATTCAGGTCTCTTTCTGGATCTCATCGATTGCGACCCAATCTATTTTCAAGCAGTGGAAGTTACGGCTGGTAATCGCCTACTTTTCCATGTTGTCTCAGATGACAGGTGGGTTATCTATCTGGCCAATTGTTCAATCCTCAATGAAGTTTGCGAGTTCCAACACTGTCTTCAGGGTAGCTCTGAAAATTATGAAACAATTCAACCAGCAGAATCTTCCTGGAGAGTGCAATTTCTTCCCGGTTAACAGGGTTGTTGGACCACAACGGAAGGAGTATCAGGATGCGGTGAGTGCACTCAGTTTTAGTCAGAGAATACGTCGGGTCTATGTGCAATAGTTTTTTTCATCTTTGTTCTGAGAAGAAGGGTATTATTGATCGCTGTCAAATATAGGTAACGCTCAAACGTTCGTTTCATATAGATTCGGAACAGGGCTCGTTTTGGGGAATTTTTCGTGCGATCCTCCCACCTCAGAACCACCTCATCTTCTCTTGTGCGACCTCTTTAACTCATCCCCCCGTGCTAACTTAACCAGGCTTCCGGAATTCTCAACTTTCTACCGTACGTTTCTCATTCCTCTTTCTTGAAGCACCTCCAGTTTTCCCCCTCGGAAAAAAGCCACCGATCGAAGGGGTGCGAAGTGCCTTGATTATTAGCCATTATTTTCTGTGGTTGCCCTGATAAGTAGTACTTGTTGCAGGACGGACGTGCTATCCTCGATGTTTTCGATTACGATGAATACTATGATGCCGTGTTTCGTAATGTATTTGCTGGTCAGTCAATAAGCTTTCAACAAGTTTGGTCGCACGGTAACTGTTGAGGTACCGGAATTGTTAACTGTTAAGGTACCGCAATTGTTCGTGATCTTCATCTCGGTGCTCGTTTTGCTAGAAGCGAAGGATTCGATTGTGTGACACTAGATGGAGATCAGGTCAGACGCTGAATTTCGTTTTCGGTTGATTATGCATCTGCGGAATAAAACCATGTTTTTTCACTGAGCACACACACTGAGTTTAGATTTCCAAACGAGGTGCCCTTACTGGTGGTTATATTGACACAAAGAGGTCGAAGTTGGAGCTGCATAAAAGCATTCGTGGACAGAAGACGAACAGAGATCAGCTGCAGGTAGGCATTCACTAGCATTTCTCTACTGTTGTAGCGCATGTTGTGAAATTGTTGTTATAGGCGACTCTAAACGAGATCCAGCGTAAAGTGAATGAAAAGATGAGCGCTGTTGAGAAGTTGCAAATGGAAATTGATAAGGTATGGTACTTGCAGTTGCCACTGAGTCAACTATTCCCAGCTCGTTTTTTATCACCTTCCTTGTTCAGGCAGATAACGACATGCGTGTTTATAAGCAACAGCATCGTAATCTCACAGAAAAGAAGCGCTATGCAAGTGAACAACTGCATGCAATGGGACGGAATCGTGAGCCCAAGGTAAACATTTGAGCCTATGTTGGTCGTTTAGTGGCTTTGACATTTAAAACATAAACGGGCACCTAAGTGGTGGATATCTTTCGAAGATTTCAGATTTAATAAAGCAATAACCACACAGTTTAATGATTTTGAA